AAAAAAAAAGAGCATCGGGTTGAATTAATTACCTGACCAATAATATAAAATTATAGTATGAACTGAACTAGTTTAAATTATTAGATTAGGAATAAAAATATAAAAATTCTATATTAGAAAATGAATAAGAATAATCTTTTCATTTTAGTATCAATTCTAATAAATAATAAAACGCAATATTACACAACACTTTTAATTTAAATTTTTAACTTAACTTTTTCCTTTTTCTCTGTTTGGTCACTATAATTTACTTTATCATAAAAGTAATTAGAAAAGTAATTGCTAAATCCATTTTCCATGTAACTGTAATTAAATTAATATAATTCCTTTTTTAAAGAATATACTTTGTAATTGTAATTAGTTCCTTTTTTTAAAAAGTAATTTGTAATTGTAACTATTTTTAAATTACAAGTAATTACCCAGCTCTGGTCGTTCTGCGACAATTTTCGGCGGTTGCTCGGCCTACAGCATCAGGCTCTCTGAATGTCTGTTCTGGGTAGATATGTTTGCAGCAGCTTGTGCCTCCGTGGACAATTTCGACAGTTAGATTCGAAACATAAGCGGAAATTTCGATTTTCAACCAACGTTGTTTGGGTACTTGTGGCGACAGGCTTCATGTTTTCGAATATGTGCCGCGTTGTTGGAGCGGTTTTTTTGCGGTTGTTTAGGACTTTTTCTGGTATTGGATTCGAAACAAGGGCGATTTACGCATAATAAAACGATTTAAAAATATACCTTTATAAATATACCTTTATGTAAGCTTGCTTGCTTGTTTAACCACCAGAGGGCGTTGGAAAAACTATTTGGCTTTTTCCAAGTCACTCTAAAATCCTTCCCATTTAAGCGAAATTTGGAATGTTACTTGTACGTAAATGTACTACTTTTTGTTAAGACAAATGAAGACATTTCTGTCTTCTTCGCTGTACCTCCATGTGTTCTCTTCTTCTCGATTGTTCTATCTTAATTATTCCATTGCCGAACAGGTATTTTTTTATGATTTCGGAACAAATCCTACTGATAGCATCTTACACTAGGTAATAATGGGCGATCAAACATGAGCTAGAACCAGTCTAGTGATCAATTCTAGTGTACTGACAAAATCTAATTAGTACAAAACAGAAAATACAACTAGACCACAATCATAAATAATTTTCTCTAATTATTCGGCAAACACCTACATCTAGATAAATGTCGAAACGTTTTGTGCAATAGATAATATCACATAGTAAAATTATTTTTACTTACTCTGCCCCTAGATGAAAGTGGGGTGGATGAGCTGTCCACCTCTTCGGATTCCATCGTCGAGTTTGAACCCCTTTGTTGCATTGTGTTAACTGAAGTCTCTATAAATATGACATCTGAAATAAGAAAGGGAAATATCTAGCATGGAAGCAAAAGGGATTAGTTGAAATACCAGGTCTGTTCCAGAAAATAAAAGATCTTTTCGAATTACGCGCTAATGTATATATTTAGTGATATGCGGTTGGCAGCATTGTGTTGCGCGTAACCCCCTCTGCAACCATATGTTCCTGGATTGTTAATATCTCATTTAGTTTTCGTGATATTGTTATTTTTGAGTGTTTAAGTGTTAGTGACGATTTTTGAAATGTACGATTTTCTGCAACAAAAATCCAATGACAATGAAACGTTTATTCAAATGATCATAACGGGAGACGAAAGCTAGGTTTACGGCTGCAACATTGAGACAAAAGTTCAATCATCACAATGGACTGGCAAAGGATCTCCACATCCCAAAAAAGCGCGTTAATCTCGATCCAATGTCAAAGTGATGCTCACTGTTTTTTTGACTTTAATAGAATTGTGCGTTTTGAATTCTTGCCTCAAGGTGAAACAGTGAACCCTGTTTTCAAGGCGTTTTTACAACAGTTAGGTTGTGACGAGACAATGGACCAATAAAATTAATAATAAAGTTCGGTTATTTTCTGAACAGACCTTGTATGTTTACAGTCATAAAGCTTTCTTTAAGAAAGTTACGTAGGGATATGATATAATCAGAATATATTCATATTAACAGAGATTACGTTCCTGAGGAATAGGAACCTCAAAAATTTGTAAATAGTGTAGGTTTATCTTTTATAAAAAAAAATGGATATTGTAATTACAAATTAGTATAAAATTATATACAAAAATTAAAGGTTACTGATTTTCAATTTTTAAATTGAAAAGATATATTACTAAATGCAATGGAATGGAAATTATATTGTGAAAATCAAATCAAAATATCAGAATACCCTAATAAAACTCTGATTTTAAATTTTAAATGAGATGACAATTGTTTAAAATAATGGAAATATATTTCATAGATGCTGCTGCAACTGCATTGTTAGAATAAAACATAAAATACATAAACATAAAATATAACAGAAAAGCAAAATTCGCTCATTTTCTATGTGAAATTTTTTTTTATCAAAAACGCAGCTGATCATTATATTTCAGAGAGATACACGAATTCTGTTTTTTCTTACCTTTAAACTATTTTAATGTTTTCAAGATTACAGTGAAATACAGTTTTGTGGTATAGTCTTTCCGATATCAATTGAAGAACCAAGAGGTTGGCAGTATGTACCAGGTTCGGTCGCTGACGCAGTAACTCCGCATTGAAATATTTGAAAAACTTGTTGCCATATTTATTTAGCCATACCCATAAACAGGTCTGATCGTCCAGTTGAAGAATGAGCGCGCGGGCAAACGCGGCATATACACAGCCGCACTGGGCGACCTGGCCATAAATTCAGTCGTCAACAAATGGCCTAGCAGTGCAGGGCAGCGATGTGGAATTTGGTGTGATTCAGGTAATTTTAATTTATTATCATTCACATTACAATTGCGAAAGGGAGAAATAAGAGGGATATCTGGTTTACTATTATTACAACATGTCACTTTGGAGACCTTTTGAAACGGAACAAAACGAAATTTACCATCAACATAATAAAATTGTTTGATGACAAACTATTAAAATATGTTGTTGGTCAAATGAATATATAATAGAAATATACAAATTAATATAATTTTTTACCTTTAGCAGAAAACATTTTTAGGGACGCCAACGAAACTAATTAAATTTTATTGCTAAGCGTTTTTATACATGTTCAAATGATTTCGGAAAGACTATACAATATTGGAGACATTGTTAAGCAATAAGCGCAAATGCGGCCTGCTTAATAATAATAATAATAATAATAATAATAATAATAATAATAACTGTAAATATGCAGAAA